ACAGCTCCCGGCGTGCCCCGCGCTTACCTCTCCGCCACCCTTCGGCCTACAGCTCCCGGCGTGCCTCGCGCTGCGAGCGCCTGGGGCCTACGACTCCCGGCGTGCCCCGCTTTGAGACACAAGATTATGGCTGGGGCGGCTACCACCACAGCTCAGGGGGCGGGGCAGGCAGGAGAGGGGGCGTGGCCTCTCTTGGTTTGGTTTGGGACCAGGTTTGTGATGCTGGGTCCTGCTCCTGCCCTGCTGCCCATCATAGAGGCCATTTCAGTTTTCTGCTACTCTGTTCTCTGTTGATACGAAACCAGACGGGTCTTGGCCAAGGAAGCGCCTGAATGGGGCCAAGTGACAGTGGCGCCTCGTCGCGGGGCCTGTTGCTGTCTGTGGCCCGCAGATGCCACCCCCCGGCTTTGCTCCTCCCTGGCATGGGGCACAGGAGAGATGCTTCGTGTGAAGGGCTCTGCAGCTGCCAAGGATGATCTCAGCAGCAGCTGGCCTTCCATCTCCGTGACCTGAGCGGTCTTGGTGCCGCCCCTGGGAGATGGTCACAGGAGCACCCCATCAGCAGGCTTGAAACAAGCCCTGGATTCCTTGAGTCCAGGGGAGTCGGGCCCCTTGCCAGTAGCTTCTGGCGCTGCTGTTCTCCTGGCACCGAGCCGCGCAGGAGGGATGAGGGGGTGAATGTATGCAGGGCTGGCGCTGTGGAAAGCGTTAGGGTCTCAGCTGTTCCAGGGGCTCATCGCCCAAGTCAGAAGCAGGGCAGATAGGCATGGCCCTCAGAGGAGAGGACAGAGGTTGTAGGCTGTCCTCTCAGCCGGAGCACCCCCAGGAGCAGCCAGGTCTGGTGACAGGCTTGAACTGATTGCTACAGAGCTTGAACTGCATTTGCCACATTAACTCATCCCAGGATACATTTTTGAGTCTTCGTTGTCTGCAGACTGTCGAGGCTGTGGGCTGATGGCTTACAATCAGGCAGTTGGTTCATCATTGCTCCCCCCTCTACAACTGGCCTCTATTATAAAGTTGCATTAGCCAAATTAACTCAGCATGAACTGGATTTGCCCTGGGGCTGAACAGCAGGCATGGGTTCAGCCTTGCCCATTCCCCGCTTCCGCTATTACTCGACACCTCCTCGGGCTATCCCTGCCATTACTGCTCTGTTTGCACATCCCCTCTGTGCTAAAAGGCCAAAACCAACACAAGGAACCCCAGAGATGCTGGAAGTGCCCGCAGCATCAAAGCAGACACAGAAGGAAGCTGCAGAGGAGGAGATGCTGCTGAGGAAGATCATAGAAGTTTATTGTATGTAAGAATCAAACTCCTATGATCTATATACACTTATTTACATGACAAAATGATGTGAGCATTATTTACAATGAGAATGTCCCTTGCAAATCTGTACATCAGAAACTGAACATGAAACCTATTTACAAGCAGTATTTGGAGGCCTCGGACACAACAGGCAGAAAAATGTTATCCAAGGAGAACTGGCTGTTTAAGAAGGTGGGGATGTGCTGTGATAATGGGACACAAGGGGGCTGGAGAGCTGGCAGGGCTGGACAAAGAGCACGTGAGTGAAACACTTTGCAGTTGGGGCGGCAGGGGTAGGAGTAAGTAGATTACTGGCTTCATCAGTGTTGTGCTGAGATGGATGTGCCAGCCTGGACTGCAGCAGAGAAACAGCTGGGTGGGTCATAGTTGGGAGAGGCACTAGAAAGCTCCCCCCCATCCAGGCATGCACAGTTCAAACATTTGTACTAGGATGGAGGCAGGTATGTGAGGCCTGGTGGAGCTGGGGCAGCTAAGGACGGTGGGGCCACAAGTGATGTTTTGCTCTTGCTCCATGCCAAGATTGAGGAGGAAAGGTGGGTACTAGCACGTATCCTCTGGTCGTGTGGAGCAAGCACAGGCCCATTTTGCCCCAGCTCCACCCCTGTCTGTGCCCCGAGTTCTGGGGCTTTTCAGGAGACTTCTCTCCCAGGCAGCTTCCCAGTCCCTGGGCTGCAGCCTGAGCCTGACCCATTTCTGCTGCAGAAGGTGGATGCTATCTTGGCTCTTTCTCACATCCACCACCTGTGCCAGGCTGGGTCTCCCCCTGGGTCTGTGGTCCCCACAGGGCCGTGGCTCCTTGCTCCTCTGGCTGCATGAGAATGAGTTGATGGGTTTACAGACTTGGTGCCTGCTTGCTGGGTGTCCCACAGGACTGATGCAATGATCATGCCACCCTCCCCCAGTAGCTTGGTTCTGAGTCAGGTCACAGCTCGCTGAAGCGTACAGAGGGCTCCAGTTTGTGGGACAGGGCTGTGAGGACCTTGTCAAACTTCTCATAGCGCTCAATCTGGCTGCTCTCCGCACCCCGGCTGCCCCACAGCAGGCGCAGCTGGAACTCAGTGCTGAAGATCTCCAGGAGCTCGGCCTTGCTCTGGAAGCCTGCAAAGGAAACAAGAGCCCAAAGTGTCAAAAAAGTGGAGCTACCCGGGCACGAGCATTTGGTATGCAGAAGCTAAGTCAGCTATGTGGGAATGGAGAAGTAGGGAGCAGTGGGATTCCTCTACTCCTTCAGCTTGATCCCAGGGAGAAGTGAGTCTGTCCAGACAAGATGGGGGTGTCGGTGGTAGGACCTGGGACTCATGGGCACTCAGCTAGGGATGACTGGTCCCCAGGGAAGAGAGTGGTTGCAGACCCCAAACTTACAGCTGTGGACCTAGCACCCTGCTGTGCCCCTTCTGCCCCCTGGAAGGCTCCAGTTCTGGCGGTGACACCCAGTTCTGTGGGGAAGGGAGGGCAGGAGGATTCCCTGCTGTGTGTCTCCATGGGTCCTACCCCTGCCAGCACAGGGTATAGGGTGCTCCAAGGAGCCCCAGAGACATGTTTGGCCTTACCTGGAGGAGCTCTTTGAAGCTGCCTGACCACCCCTAGCTGAAAGGAGAGCATGCTACAGCCCACAGGCTGGTGCTCCTTGGTGACTGCAGTGTGGCCAAGGTCCCACATTAGATCTGCCGGCTCCTTACCCTGCAGCTTCACCTCCGCGTTGGTGTGGTACAGTCCCCCGTGATGCGCCACCATCCGGGCAGCCTCCAGGTGGGCCAACACAATCTCCACACCGTTGTCCAGGTTCTCCCAGGGCTCAGAGCTGTCCAGGACTGCAGCGTCCCGCTCCAGGAGTGTGATGAGGGGCACAATGTGCGGGAAGGTAGTGTTGGTCAATGGGGGGCCTTCTGCAAGAGAATGAGGACATGTATACCCTGAGTGCCCCAGGCACTGCCCAGTGCTGGACTGATAGCAAGAGGGGCCATTCCTTCTTTAAAGTGTTTAGTCTTGGTGGGAAATCACGTGTGGAGACCTGGTATCCTCTGTAGTCCCGGCGCTGCGGGGAAAGGGCAAGAACCTGCCATGGCTTCTTTTGCCAACATGTCTTGCCCTTACATAAAAGAGACCCATGGAGCCCAGTCTCCAGGGGCCAGAGAGCCCCAATGATGGCAGGGCATGTGTGGGCGTCGTTCTGGAGACCTGCCCCTTCCAGGTGGGGGTCATAGGCAGCCACATGCCAACCACTACTAGCCCTGAACCAGACTGAAATCAGACTTGGAGACGGATGCTTGGCTTCTGTCCCAGCAGGTTCCCGGAGGCGCGTGGAGTCTGTGTTCCCACCCTCAGCCCCCGCAGCCAGGACCACACTTTCAGTGAGCCCTGTGCCCAGCATGCCCAGCCCTCCTGGCAGCCTGGCTGCTTGTCTTTCCAAAAGCTTCCTGTCTGCTTGGCACAAGCGCCTACTTCCCAGTAGCAGATGGGGCTGGATTCAATGCCTGGCACACAGATACTGTGTTTGTGCCCAGCTGGTATTTTTATTTCCTTCTGAAATGGGTGTTTTGGGAAGGGAAGGAGCAGGCCAGGGGCATGGAGATGCTAGGTTGGGACAAGAGTGTGTGACCCATGGACCAGGGAGCAGTTGGACCCTCCTTGGGGTGGAGCTGCAGCTTCTACAAGGCCTTGCGCCTTTGGCACCTTGCAGCCTGCTGAGGCTGGTTAGTGCCTTGGCATCCCCAAGCAGGCATTGGCTCATGAAGGAAGGGGTGAATAACACCAGGGGTTTGGTGGCCTGTGACTCCAGGGGCAAGGCAGCAGCTATGGCTGTCATGGGAGGACTGTAGGCTCTGAGGAAAGCAGAGGGGTCAAGCCCCCAGTGCTGAGAAGGCAGTGGGGAAGGGCAGGGTTGAGGCAAGTGGCTCCCCTGTCCCCAGTACCTTTGCCTTCATTCAGGCTCTTCAGAAAGGGCTTCAGCTTCTTCTCATAGAGGATGGCACCCTCCGTGTGCCTCTGGCGCAGCGCCATCCAGGTCTGCTCCAGCCGTGAGATCTGCATGTGGAATCAGAGTGGGGAGCTGATCTTTGTGCTCTCAGCTCCATGGGGCCCCTGGGTTCACAACTGGCAGTTGCAGGGGACTAGGCAGGGCAGGGAATGGGCTAGCGCAGTGGGGCTTTGGGGAGTCACTGCACACAGCTTGGCCACGGCCTTTCAGTGCTGGCCGTGCTCCTCCAGGCCATTCCAGTCGCATCTAGCTCACACCCCTCACTCCTAAACTTGCAAGGCTGAGCTGCTCAGATCCAGCCCTGCCCCCAGGGCCTTAAGAGCACCCCTCCCTGACATCTGGCTGCCTGCAGGCCAGAGTGGATCATATACAGACTTGTAATCCCCCTTCATTTACTGCAGGGAGCAGCTCAGCCCAGGAGGCGCTGGTGGGTAACCTTGAAACTGGATGCACCGTGCTGGATGCTGGATTCACTTCCTCCGAATGACAGAGCTGGCAACAAGCAGCAGCTGTGGCCATGCGGGAGCCAGTCAACTTGCGGGGGGCCCACCCACATAAGTCGCAGCAAGGAAAACGGACCCTGAATGTTCCCCACATCTCATGCCACTCTGTCCACCCCTGACCCCTGTGTGCTCATGTTCA